TTAAACAACCTATGACAGAAAATTGTCTATGTAGGTAACTCATTTTATTCGGTATTTTGTTGATTTTAGCGTCATTATTCACCAGGATTGTTTCAAATGTCGTATTTGAAATTCGGAATCTGTACTACAGCCTTTGGCAGAAAATTACTTATGCAGATCCACGTCCTTCTTGTAGCCCATTGACAATGCATAAGTACACGATGGCCAATGGATGGCTGGATCGGCACACCAATGACACACCTTACATGCCGTGGAACTGAGGAATGTTTTGCCGTTCCGACACGTCGTCCGTCCTTATTATCAGCAAACAAGTTCCCGTAATTGTTCATTGAAATTTAAAGGAATTTTAATTCTCCAATTCAAAGGACAGGTTTTCGTGGGCTTTCTTCGACATATATATTTGTTTTAATTTTCAAGTTCTTTCCAAATGGGGGAGGGTATTAAAAGTTCGGAACGTAGTGGCTTTTTTACTTGTTTGATATTTTAACGGTTTCCGTTCCAATGTTCACCCGAATCAGCTTTAATTTGGTATTTTGGCCTCTCTGTGGGTTGTTCAACTCTTCTAGGCCGACTAGGTATAGCCTCCATTTAACTGTACCCCCTGATTTTCAGAATTTTTGAAGAATTTCCACCCAATTTCCAAACAAATCAGATGCAACTTGAATTTTTCATTGTCTCCGTGGGTATAAAACTCCTTGCAAAAATATTCAATATAGGTACACTTTTTGGTATAGTTTCCCATATAACTGTACCTCCTGATTTTCGCTATTTTGGAGATTTTGGCACCAGTTTCCCACCAAATCGTCTGTAATTTGATATTTCGGCTTTCTGGTGAAAGTTTAATTCCTTCTCACAAAATTTTCGATGTTGGTCCAATTTTTGCTGTAGTTCCCAAGCAACCTCACGATTTTCATTTTTTTTTAAGATTTTGGTTCCAATTGATATTTCGGATTCTCTGGGGATAGTTTAACTCTTTTTAAAAAATATTCAATGTAGGCCCAATTTTTGGTATAGGACCGACATAACGGTTCCTCCTGATTTTTTGACTACTGAAGAATTTCCAACTAAATCAATGAAATTTAACATTTCGGCTTTAATGTCCGATTTCCAAGCAAATGAACGGTAATTGTTAAAATGTTGGGTTCTTTAAAGATAGATTAAATCCCCTAAAAATGTAGTAAAGGTATAGGACACCAGAACTTCCAAATATTGGGTATTTTAGGGAAATCCAATTTGGCCATGAGGCAAGTTTTTAAAAGGAGGAGGGTATAAAAAGTTAATTCCAACCGAAATTATCGTCATTTTTACTTGTTTTTCTTCAGGAAATGCATAGATAACCCTTATGGGAAACGTTATTGTCAAGCCTTTCAGAAGGGCTGTATGTATTTTTTTGATACATTAAAGAGCCTCAAAAGGCTTTCTAGACTTAGATGTACTAAAGTGACATAAAATACCTAAAGAACAACTTAGAAACCTAGAGGACTCTCCTAGATGTAAAGACTCTTAAAAAGCCTTCTAGACGTAAAAAAAGAACCGTAAAATATCTTCTTGACATGAAAGACCTCCAGAAGGTCTACTAAGCTTAGAAGTACTACAGAAGTCATAAAAGACATTCAAAAAGACTTAAATACATACAAGACCCATAGAAGGTCTAATGGACATGGACGACACTCAAAAGGCCTTCTAGGCACGGAAGATCCATATACATTCTTCTTGAATTAGAAGTTACTGCTGAAGACATAAAATACCCACAGACGGTCTTATAGACATAGAGGGCCTGTAGAAGGTCTTCTAGACTTGGAAGGCCCTTTAAAGGTCTTCTAAACCTTTAAAACGTTTTCCTGACTTGAGAGAAACCCCTCATAAGGTCCTTAGACATATAGGATCTATTGAAGGTGGAATACCCTTAAAAGGTCTTCCAGACTAGAAAGACATATAGACGGTTTCCTAGACCTTAACGTACGACAGAAGATATAAAAGACCCACTGAAGGTCTGTTAGACACAGATGACCCATAGGAGGTCTTCTTGACTTAAAAGATCCCCGAAAGGTTTTCTAACCATTTAAAGGACTTCTAGATCGGAGAGAGTTTTCTAGACTTTGATATGCTACAGAAGACATACAAGACCTACATAAGGTCTTACAGACATAGAGGGCTTATATAAGGTTTTAAAACACAGGAGACTAAAAAGTTCTTTTAGACCTTTAAAATGTCTTCCAGACCTGGAACAAGACACTTAAAAGATCTTTAGACATAGATTACCCACAGAAGGTCTTTTAGACGTAGAAGACCTTCAAAAGATCTTCCAGACTCGGAAGAGCTATAGAAGGTTTTCCAGACTTAGAAGTACTACAGAAGACATAAAAACCCCACTGAAGTTCTTATAGAAAAGGAAGATCCTCAAAGAATCTTCTAAATCCTTAAATGTTCTTCCAGACATAAAAAACCCAAAGAAAGTTTTCTGGAGATTAATGGCTAATGGAAGGCCTTCGGTGCCCAGAATACATATAGAATGACTTCTATACAAAGAAGATCATATAAGACCTCTTCTGTACAGTCGACCTATAATTTTTTCTATACGTAGTGTACCTCCCTATATCTTTGGGGACCTGAGAAATCTATCATATATGGAGGACCCATAGAAGCACATCTTTCCATAAAATCGCGCTAAGGGAACTTCTATAGGTAAAATACCTACAGATAGTCTTCTATCCATTGAAGCCACAGAGATGGTACTCTATATAAAAAAAATCATAGATGTAATTTTGCACATAGACCACTACATGAGACCTTCTGCATATAGAAGACCTACATAGGATCTATCACACATAGAAGTACTATGGATGGTATTGTATTCCTAGAAGTCCTGTGGAAAAAGTTTAGTAGACCTTTTCTTTGGTCTAGCAAGGATCAAGCAACCCAGCATAAAAGAAAAGTCGGCTATCATTGTAACGAGTCCGAATTACGAACTTCCAACCTTCGGTTTTAAAGTCGGGCGTGCACTCTTTGTGACGTTTACAGGAATGTATTTCGAACGCCTTTGTGGCAGCCAAACTAGGAAAAAAATATTCCCATGTAAAATACGCATGGAATGTAAATCGTAGAATTTCGCAAGGTGTCTGGGAACCTAGGTCTCCCAACCTCCGTAAGCCCCTGTTACCTGATAATGAGTAGAGCAAGTTGTTAACTTCGTAATGTTTTGAGTAATAACCCATTATTTTTAGTCTACTGGTAATGCAGGAGTAAGCTTTTTATACCCTACACCACAAGGTGGTCAGGGTATTATGTCTTTGTGGATTTGTTTGTAACAGGCAAAAGGAAACGAGATAGACCCATAGTTCCTTTTTATGATCTGCATAGAATCACATTGTGAGTCGATTTATGCATATCCGTCCGTCCGTCTGTCCGTCCGTCTGTCCATGTATTCTTGTGAACAAAATGCAGGTCGCATGTATTATCCGATTGAGATGAAATTTTGCACAAATAATTTGTTTGGCAAAGGACGAACCCTATTGAAATTGGATATAATCGGTAAAAAATTAGATATAGCTCCCATATAAATCTTCGTCCGATTTGCCTTTTATTGTGCACCAAACGTGTAATATCAGCCCGAATAATATGGAATTTTGCACATACAACCAAATTAGGCCTGAAAATAAGTACGCCAAATTTGATCGAAATCGGTTCAGATATAGCTATAGCTCCCATATATATTGTTCATCCGATTTGTAAATTTTGTCTTTCGCAGCCGTAATATGCACTCTGTAACAACAATATTTGGGGAAATATATCAAATGTAGCTCAGAAATACCTCTGTTAAATTTTATCGAGATCGGTTCAGATTTGGATATAGCTCCCATATATAACTTTGTCCGATTTACTTTTTATTGTGCACCAAACGTCTAATATTTGCCCAAATGGAATGGAATTTGGCACATGCGACCGAATTGAGTCTAGAAGCTAGTATGCTAGACTCTAGAAGATCGGTTCAGATATAGCTATAGCTCCCATATATACTGTTCATCCGATTTCTTATATATGTTACCCACAGCCGTAATATGCACTCCGTAACAACGATATTCAGGTAAAAATATATCAAATACAGCTCAGAAATATCTTTGCCAAATTTTATCGAGATCGGTTCCGCTTTGGATGTAGCTCCCATATATATCTTTATCCGATTTCAAATTAATTGTGCACCAAATGGGTAATACGAGTCCGAATTTAAAAGATACAAATGCTTCGGCGTATTTAGTCCTTTGAACTTTAAATTATAATTATAATCAAAGCTTGTATGATTGAACTCTCCCATAAAAACTTTGGTGTAGGGTATCATAAAGTCGGCCCCGCCCCGACTTTCTTTACTGGTTTACATTGGATTTTATGGGGTAATTCGGTTCGTATAGCTTCCAAATTTTTTCTGGCGAAATATCTCAATTTTGGACACCCGATCTACTGTTCACTTTTTTATTATAAAAAAATCATCGTGGAAAGTCCTCAACCGTCCTGGGGCTTTGTTTTATTCAAAGTCTAAAGGAAATTGTGGACCATTGTCTGTAATTTCTTTTAGCTTTACTGTTCGTCAACGTTTCTAACCTCACTTGCGGCAATATGCTGCATACACACACACATACACCCACACTCACACAAATGCATGTGTATTGAAAGTGATTTACACGTTTACTTTTGTATTATGAGAATGTAGTTGAGTGTGTGACTTTGGATTCATAAAAATTCTGAAGAATGCTGTCGTCATTCGAATGTGTGTTACAAACGTGCATGTGTATGTGGCACGTGCATTCGTGTGTGTGTGTGTGTGGGATGGTGTGTAACTGCACTTTGTATTCTTTGTATTTTTCTGCTATAATTGCTTTCTTTACAAACTTTCACTCGTTGCGTGTGTATGTGTGTGTGTGTGTTTCATTGTTGTTGTTGTTGTGTTTTTTTTTCAATCTTCATCTTTTTCTTTCATTCTTTCCTTTCTCCCTTTTCCCCACCAGAATTCGAGCATTTGACACATCCTGCGTACAAAAGGGCTCATTATTCGAAATACCCATAACCGTTGTACAGCCGCACACAATTGACTGTCAAGAGACCCGTTTGTATCAACCGCCCGCCACCCAGAATGGCGATGGCAGCATTGAATTCCAACCGAACACCATTCAAAGAGAGTTCATTTTGGTGCCACCAAAGGCAACCTGGGCAGGTAAGTGGATCTTCTTTTGATTTTTAATGGCCAACAATCGGCAGAGGCGATGTTTGCGGTTGCCATGACAGCCAATCCGACCAATACCCAGCGAAGAGATAAAAACAAACAAACAAGCAAACAAAGAGACACAGAAGAAATGCAAAAAAAAAAAAAAAACAAATGCACACACGCAGAAGGAGAGGAAGAGAAATCAATGCTCAAAAAGCGTTTGCTGATGACAAATTGACAATTTGCCGTTTGAACAACACCCGCATAACTGGTTCAGTGCACACAGACACACACAGGTGCTAATAGCTATGGCAAATATGCCCGGACCAATTTCAATGCAATTTGTTGCACCATTATTTGCTGTCGCTACCGTGGTCGTGGTTGTTCTTGTCTTTGTTGCACAAATATCGCATTCCTTTGTAGCCATTTCTAAGTTGACTTTGGCGACCCCCTCTTTGCTTTCGCCAATTTTACTTCAGTTTATGATCGCCGTGAAGCTACCATCAATGAGGGTTATTAAGGTGGAGGACTGAAGTCAATTTATCATTGGACAAATGAATGGGAGATTCTGCAACCGATTTAGCTGGCTAAAGTGCATTCCAGTTTAGTGATGACGATGACATTGCTGTTTCCCAGCTTCGACACAAAACCACCGCATCAATTGAATGCTGGAGATGCTATCATCATTTTTTATACCCTCTACCCTACATAGTATGAAGGGTATATTAAGTTCGTTATTCCGTTTGGAACTCATCGAAATAATAAGTATAGACCCTACAAAGAATATATAATCTTGATCAGCGTAGAATTTTAAGACATCCGTCCGTTTATATGTCCGTCTGTCCGCCCGTCCGTCTGTTGTAATCACGCCAGTCTGAAAACGAATAAAGATAGGAGGCTAAAATTTTGCACAGATCAGTCTCTTGTCTGCAGGCGGGTGAAGTTCGAAGATGGGCTATATCGGTCCACGATATCGTATAGCGCCCATATAACGGTACCTCCCGATATTCGGAATTTTGATGATTGTAGCGAAATTTTTCAATGACATTTTCTGAAAATCCATAAAAGGAATTTCTTCTGGGTACTTTACACCCTGGAAGAGCATTCGCTATATAGGTTCACGATATCGTATATCCCCCATGCAACGGTACCTCCCCATATTCGGTATTTTGATGATTTTAACGACATTATTCACCGGAATTGTTTCAAATTTCGTATTTAGAATTCTTAATGGGTACTACAGCCTATGACGGAAAATTGCGTCTGCAGGCCCACGTCTTCATATAACCTCCACATAACGGTACCTCTCGATATTCGGCATTTTGATGAATGTAGCCAAAATTTTCAATGAAATCGTCTGAAAATACACAAAAGGTGTTCCTTCTGGCTACTTTACCCCCTGGAGGAGTATTGTCTATATAGGTCCACGATATCGTATACCCCCCATGCAACGGTACCCTCCGATATTCGATATTTTGACGATTTTAGGGACATTATTAACCGAAGTTGTTTCAAATTTCGTATTTCGAATTCGTAATGGGAGCTACAGTATGTAACAAAAAATTGTCTATGCAGGTCCAGGTCTTCGTACAGGACCCATATATCGGTCCCCCCTATATTCGGTATTTTGATGATTTTAGCGACATTATTCATCGGAGTTGTTTCATATTACGTATTTACAGCTCGTAATGGGTACTATAGCCTATCACAAAAAATTACGTATCCAGGCCCACGTCTTCGTATAGGCCCCATATAACGGTACCCTCCGATATTCGATATTTTGACGATTTTAGCGACATTATTCACCGGGTTTGTTACAAATTTCGTATTTAGAATTCGTAATGGATACTACAGTCTATGATAAAAAATTGCGTATCCAGGCCCACGTCTTCGTATAGCCCCAATAAAACGGTACCTCCCTATATTCGGTATTTTGATGATTTTAGCGGCATTATTCACCGGAGTTGTTTCATATTTCATATTTAGAATTCGTAATGAGTAATACAGCCTTGACAAAAAATTGTCTATGCTGGTCCAGGTCTTCCTATAGGACCCATACAACGGTACCTCCCTATATTCGGTATTTTGATAATTTTTGCGGCATTATTCACCGGAGTTGTTTCAAATTACGTATTTACAGCTCGTAATGGAAACTACAGTCTGTGACAGAAAATTGTCTATGCAGGTCCAGATTTTCGTATAGGACCCATATATCAGTACCTCCCTATATTCGGTATTTTGACGAGTTTAGGTACAATACCCACCGAAATTGTTTGAGATGTCGTATTTGAAGTTCCTAATAGGTACTACAGCCTGTGACTGAGAATTGTCTACGCAGGTTCAGGTCATCGTATATCGGTACCTCCCTATATTCGGTATTTTGACGATTTTAGGTACAATATCCACCGAAATTATTTGAGATTTCGTATTTGAAGTTCCTAATAGGTACTACAGCCTGTGACAGAAAACTGTCTATGCAGGTCCAGGTTATCGTAATCGGTAACTACCTGTATTGGGTATTTGGATGATTTTAGCTACATTATTCACTGAATTTTTTTCAAGTTTCATATTCGAATATTGTAATGACTTATGACTTGCCTAGGTAGGTCCACGTCTTCGTATAGACCCCAATACATTGGCTATATGCGGTGTTTTTAAGATTTTAACAGATTTTATTTTTTTTTTTTTTTTGAAAATTTCTAAATTCGTTCCAAATTGTGGAGGGTTGGCAAAGTTCGGCCCGGCCGAACATAATGCTGTTTTTCTTGTTTTTTTTTTAACTTTACTTCGTTCCATAGTGGGATTCTACAATGGGAGCTTTTGTGTGTGTCTATGTGTTTGTTTGTGCGTTGTCTCTTTTTCATTTTCCAGTTTTGCAAAAATTTATCTTGTTTTGTGTCCTTGTTCTTCTTCTTCTTCTTTTTTGCATCAACATCATGATTCTTTTTTCGGTATGTTGCCACATTGTTGCCACTGTACCACCTGGATACTGCCACTGATGCTGCTTCTGACGCTGCTCCTATTTTTGTCCTCCCAACAACAACAACATCGACGACCACTTCAATCTAAAGTCTTACGGATGCGCTCAACCGATAAAAATCGTGACAAGGATGTTGGCAAATTTTTCGTACATACCGTACAATTGCTACCCAAGTCATCATGTCGTGTTTTGGAAACTATGAAGATTTTGTCTGTCAATTCCGAAAATGAAACCACATTGGCATTCAAGTGTCAGGTAAGTGCATCTTTCTTTCTCTGTTCTCTATTCTCCGAGTGCCATGGCGCTCGGTACGGTTCGTTCTTCACCTCCAAAAGAATTGGAGTACGATGTACTCATAGTTTTACTCATGTGTGTGTTGTGCTGAGGACGAGCACAAGCAAGATGACGATGAGGATGCTGCTGCATCGACTGGTGACGGTGGACATGCATGTATTTGTGGAAATAGGATAAGTGTTATTTGTGTTGCATTTGGATTTAGAATTTAGAATATTTTTAAAAGAATTTGAAAAAATGTTTATTTTTAACAATTCTCTTTAGAGAATTTTTCGATAACACAACAAATCAACACATCGAATATAAAATGCTGCCGATAACAACATTTTTGTGATGCAACTTTTTAGATAAAAACATTTTATAAGGATTTTTTCGATAACAGCATTTCCTATAAAAATGTCGTTCGATAACAACATTTTCTATAGAAAATTGGATCGATAACCAGATTTGCTATAAAAATAGGATCTATAGCAAATGTTTCCATGGAAAATTTGATTAATAATCAAACATTGTATAGAAGTTTCCTTTAATAGACACTTCGTCTGTGGAAAACTTTATCGATACTAGCAGTTTCTATAGAAAATTGGATAGATAAAAGAAAAAAATTTCTGATTACAAAAACATATATGGAAAAGTTGTCCGATAACAACTTTTTCTGTAAGACAGTTATTCGACAACACAATTTTACCCATATAAACTACTTAAAATCTTTTCGATAACAATATTTTATAAATAAAAATGCTTCGATAACAGCATTTTATACAGAAAATGTTATCGATATCAAAATTTTCTATAAAAACCTTTCTATAAGAACCTTTCATAATCGTTTTCCGTTATGAATGTTGTTCGATAAAAACATTTTTTTTGGTCGATAACAACATTTTCCCTGGATATGTTCGATAACAACACTTTCCATAGAAATGTTGTCCGATAATAACAGTTTTTTATAGAAATGTTGTTCGATAGCAACATTTTCTGCAGTTGTTCGATAACAACATTTTCTATAGAAATGTTGTTTGATAACAACATTTTCTATAGAAATGTTGTTCGATAACAACATTTTCCAAAAAAATTTGGCCTATAACCAAATTTTTCATAGAAGTTCTGTTTGATAACAATATTTTTCATTTATTGCAGTTTTATAAAAGCATTTTCCATGGAAATGTTATTCAATTACAAAATTTTCCAAAAAAAAAAAAAAAAAAAAAAAACTTGCCCGATAACAACATTTCTCATGGAAATGTTGTTCGATAACAACTTTTTTATTAGAAATGTTATTCGATAACATTATTCTTAGAAATGTTATTCGATAACAACATTTTCCATAGAAATGTTGAAACATTTTCCAAGAAAACAATTTGTGCGATAACAAATTTTTTCATAGAAGTTCTTCGATAACAAAATTTTTCATATAATGTAGTTTCATAAAAGCATTTTCCATGAAAGTGTTATTCAATTACAAAATTTTTCCAAAAAAAAGTTGCCCGATAACAACATTTTTCATGAAAATGTTTATCGATAACAAAATTTTTTATGCAAATGTTTTTCGATAACAACATTTTTTATAGAAATGTTGTTCGATAACAATATTTTCCATAGCAATGTTGTTCGATAACAACACCCATCCAAGATTGTTGTTCGATAACAACATTTTACAAAGAAATGTTGTTCGATAACAACATTTTCCATCGAAATTCTGTTCGATGACAACGTTTTTCATGGAAATGTTATTCGATAACAAAATTTTCTATAGAAATGTTGTTCGATAACAACTTTTTCTATAGAAATTTTGTTCGGTAACAACTTTTTCTATAGAAATGTTGTTCGACAGCAACTTTTTCTACAGAAATCTTATTCGATAACATCAATTTCCGTAGAAAGTTTGTTCGATTACAACATTTTCCATAAAAATGTAGTTCGAAAACAATACTTTCCATAGAAATGTTGTCCGATAACAACATTTTTTATAGAAATGTTGTTCGATAACAAAATTTTCTACAGAAACAACATTTTCTATAGAAATGTTGTTCGATAACAACATTTTCTATAGAAATGTTATTCGATAACAACATTTTCTATAGAAATGTTATTCGATAACAACATTTTCTATAGAAATGTTGTTCGATAACAACATTTTCTATAGAAATGTTGTTCGATAACAACATTTTCTATAGAAATGTTGTTCGATAACAACATTTTCTATAGAAATGTTGTTCGATAATAACAAATGTTGTTCGATAACAACTTTTTCTATAGAAATATTGTTCGACAGCAACTTTTTCTACAGAAATCTTATTCGATAACAACATTTTCCATCAAGATATTGTTCGATAACAACATTTCCCATAGTAGTGTTGAAAACATGTCCGATGGACATATTGTTTATAGGAACGTAGCTTGATAACGTTTTCTATAGAAAAGTTTTTCGATAAAAAAAGATTTTCTATATCAACTTTTTCTTAAAAGAAGTTTTTCGATAATAGCAGTTTCACGAGGAAAACGATACGACAAAATCGTTATTGTTAAAAAAGTGTTTCGATAACAAATCTTTTCATGAGAAAAGTTTTTCGATGACAACAATACCATTAGAAAAGTTGTTCGATACAACCAGTAAAATTATCCAACAGAAAAAAAATATTTTCTTTGGAAATTTTCGATAATAACCAAATCGATTAATAACAAAGACATTATTTTGAATTGTTTATTTATAGACTTAGGCTTCTTTGGATGTTATCCCTTAAAAATGTCACAAACCTCTAAACTTTGTAACAAATTGGGGAAAGTAGCACATCTGTGAACTCGAATACACTGAGCAAATTTTTCTGAAAATAACTTTTTCTTTATATATTTTTTATCAACTTAGTTTGAAAACTCATTCCACCAGAATATTTCCATTTTGCCCATATCTATATGTGGGAAAACTGAACCCCATTTGCCTCAGTGTAGCACTTACAGCATGCATTTGGTTACCATTACCACAACACACACACACACACACATGCTCACCCAAAAGTTCACATTCTCCACTCTAATGAACTGAATACCTTAGCCAGAATGAAGGTGTGTCTCTGAGTGTGTGTGTTTTTTTGAGCTCATAAAAATCCCAGAACTGAAACTTCATTTTTAAATTTCCCAACATAAGCAGCAATAGAATTAGTTAAGTTGCTCCATTTGTTTTAAATTAGTGCTAAACCATTTATTTGGCTTAAAAGTGACAACAACAGCAACACCAACACTGGCTGACTGGTTGGCTGGCAACAACATTAGGTGGAACAACAACAACATTACCATGATGATGATCATCAAGGAGAATATTACATTTATTGAGAAATGCATTTGACGATGAACCCTTAATACGATAATAGCTGTTGCTAAAAGTTTTAAAGCAAAGTCAATGGGGGAAAGGGGTGTTCCACCCACTCCTCCCCCACCTTCCCGCATAATGTAATATTCTGCTAAGTGAACATTAAGATTACATACCAACGGAAAAAAGTCTCCCCCAAAAGTTTGTTGGCAAACTTCATTACGCGACGGACAACGACTACGACGAATTGAAAATTGCATACTTTAGGCATTGATAGCCGAAGAGACAGACATACAGACATTTCCAAGTTAGTTTTAGAGGTTATGTGAAGCGTAAAGAATCACATCTTCGAAATATCTATTGAAATGTTAAATGTTACGTGACTTTTTCTTCAGTTCGAAGCTATAGACAACATTCTGAGAATTTGTTTGAAAGGGGTTTCGAAATGGTATGACTTCGATGGCAAATGGAGAAACTCCTTTTATATGCTAAGAAAAGGAGTAATTGAAAATTATCTTTTTAAAGCTTAGAAGTTTTCAATTGCAAGGATTTTTAAGGTAAATTATTTGGTTGTTTTTGTAAGCAACATTTTCTATAGAAAAGTTGTTGGATAACAACTTTTCCCATTGAAAAGATGACAGAAAACACCTTTTCCCATTGAAAAGTTGGCCGATAACAACTTTTCCCATTGAAAAGTGACCGATAACAATTTTTCCCTTTGAAGAGTTGTACGAAAACAACTTTTCCCATTGAAAAGTGGTTCGATAACAACTTTTCCCCATTAAAAGTTGTCCGATAACAACTTTTCCTATCGAAAAGTGGTCCGATAACAATTATTCCTATAGAAAAGTTGTCCGATAACAATTTTTCCTATCGAAAAGCTGTCCGATTACAAACGTATCTTTATAAAAGCTGTCCGATAACAACTTTTTCTATAGAAATGTTGTCTGATAACAACTTTTTCTATAGAAAAGTTGTCCGATAACAACTTTTTCTATAGAAAAGTTGTCCGATAACAACTTTTTCTATAGAAAAAGTTGTCCGATAACTTTCCGATAACAACGTTTTCTATAAAACAACTTTTTCTATGGAAAAGTTGCTCGATAACAACTTTTCCTATAGAAAAGTTGCTCGATATGTCCGATAACAACGTTTTCTATAGAAAAGATGTCCGATAACAACGTTTTCTCTAGAAATGTTGTCCGATAACAACGTTTTCTATAGAAAAGATGTCCGATAACAACTTTTTCTATAGAAAAGATGTCCGATAACAACTTTTTCTATAGAAAAGATGTCCGATAACAACTTTTTCTATAGAAAAGATGTCCGATAACAACTTTTTCTATAGAAAAGTTGCTCGATAACAACTTTTCCTATAGAAAAGTTGCTCGATAACAACTTTTCCTATAGAAAAGTTGCTCGATAACAACTTTTCCTATAGAAAAGTTGCTCGATAACAACTTTTCCTATAGAAAAGTTGCTCGATAACAACTTTTCCTATAGAAAAGTTGCTCGATAACAACTTTTCCTATAGAAAAGTTGCTCGATAACAACTTTTCCTATAGAAAAGTTGCTCGATAACAACTTTTCCTATAGAAAAGTTGCTCGATAACAACTTTTCCTATAGAAAAGTTGCTCGATAACAACTTTTCCTATA